CTAATTTAAATTTTTAAAGATAACCTAACTATATTAACTCATACAGGTTTTATATTTCAAACACACATAGCCTTTTTTTTTACAGACCTACATACATTAATAATACTAAGAAGGAATATTCAAAGTTAGTATTGTACTAGATGAAGCCCGTGCGATGCACGGTTTGTTTTTTTACAACTTATATTTTTTTTCCTATTTTTGTGATAAAATTTGTTACTTTATTTATTCGTTATAGGTAGTATATCATATTATCGTTTAATATTTTTATTTTATTTATTTTAAAATATAAATTGAATATTCTCTTATTCGTTATATATTTAGATGAAATTCCTAATATCAAAAGATAATATTTTATATTTATTAATTTAAACTTTGAAATTTCATTCGCCATTTTTATTTTGTTAACGTAGAACTTATTTTTAAGACGAATAAATGATAAATGATGAACATTTTTTTTGCTAGAAAAAGAGAAAGGATATATTTTTAATTTCAATGGATTTTTCTTATTTTTTGTATTTAATTTAAAACTATTTTTTTTTTGAGAGAAAACTGATTTTTTTTAATTTAACGTGATTTCATTTTTTTTATTAGTATATTTTTATAAAATATTTTATTATAATCACTTGTCATATTTTCATTATTTTTTTTTATCTAATCCATTTTTTTTTAAATTTCAATTGAAAGTGAATTTCATTTTTTTAAGTTTGATAGTATTTTTTTTATATATACAAAATAAAATAAATTGTTTCATTTCTCTTAGATAAAATTTCCAATTTAAAAAGATAGTATTTTATTTTTATAATAAATTTAAATTTTTAATTTAAATCTTACATGGCATAATCCTATAAGTAACGTTCTAAAAATACTAATAAAAATCATAGGTAGCTCTCTAAAATCTTTGGAAAAAAACTCCCCTTTATAAGTTTTGTGCCTGAGCGATGCCCATATGATTGATAAAATTTTAAGATAACATTTTTACTTGAATGTTAATAAATACAGTCATATAATCCGTTATGATAATGTAGGATATTTAGACATACGATATCATATGGCTTATATTTATATAATAGTGTACTTTTTGTAGTTTTGTTTGTAAATAAATATCTATGTTATTATTGACTTGAAATTACTTATATTGAGCTTAAATTATTTTCACTAAACTTAAAGTATTTTTACCAAACTAAGATTATTTTTACAGATTAAAACTTATCTTTACTGATTCTCTAGTATTTTTACCAAGCATTTTGTATGTGGCTAGCCACACCATCCGGACAAAGTAACCCCTATAAAACTGACCGAGTAACCCTTGTAATACTAACTGAGTAACCTCTAACAATGACTAAGTAACCCCTATCTATAACACTAATTGAGTAACCACTATAACACTAACCAAATAACCCCTATAGCACTCACGAAGTAACTCTTATAATAGTTGGTGACACCGTTTGACCAGCTACATATAAAATTTTGTGATTAAATATATTATAAATGGATCTTATTTTAAAGAACTTTTTAAAACGAATTGAATTTGAGGATGTAAATAGAATTGAGTTATAAGATATTTATAAAAAGTTATAATTAATTTTGTATATATGAAATATTAGAATTCTATCGATAATAAAACTTTATACAACAATTTTATCCTAAAAAATATATCCAAAAATTGCTTACTTAGCACACCATACGTGTCACAATAATACCTATTTATGTCGCTATCTCGTGGCCTGACTTTGAAACCGGCTTTATTTATTAGTGATATGATATTAGATTGACTCAACTCCAAGGGACATTCACACCTTCAATATGTTGTTATTGGTCTTCTATGTAAATTATAATCTACTCAAAGTTATTACTCTTTATTATCGACCTTTTTAAGATTTTGATATTTTCATGTAATATAACTTGACTTACCCAAAATGTGTGCTTTTCTCATAAGACCCATATAAAACAGACAAGATTTTCGCCATTCACGCTTTCGAAAAGAACATAGAATAGTAGAAGATCCAGCATGCAGAACATGGCGAATCTTTGTTTAATAGTTATTTGAATGGCTTACTAGCTAATTGCAATTTACAATCCAATAAAAAAAAAAAAAAAAAAAAAAAAAAAAAAAAAAAAAAAAAAAAAAAAAGGCAAAATGGTGCGAGTAGTATAATACAACTATACAAGTAGTTCATAAAATGGGCTTTAAAACTTGTTAAATTGGGCCATCTAAAATGGGCTAAAGAGGGACTTGCTAGCAAAAAAGTTATTACAGAGAGCTTCAATTCCCACAACGGCTACAAATTACAATCCCACATACCCACAATTAGATCGAGGAGAGAGAAAAACTCATAAACCCTTACTGATTACCGTCGACGGTTGCGCGTAGAGGGAAAAACCCAATTGATTGTCTTGTCTCAATTTATTTATTTATTTATTTAATTTTTTTTTTTTTTTAAGGAATCCGAATTGAAATTCCAACTTCAAGCATGCAAATAATTGTTTAATTTCAGTTTTTTATACGAAATTCGAAAATGAACAGGTTTTTTAAAAACGGCAATCGCAGATGGTTGAGGAGCATTTGGGTTTATTGTAATTTGGGTTTATTGTTTTTCAGGAGTGGTCTGGCTACTATGGGGAAGTATCGTTGCCGTCCCCGAAACGTACCCCTAGCCTGAAGATTGGTGTCCCCAAAGGCGATACGGGAAACGGCCTTGGTTTGACGAATCCATCCGTATATTCCAGGGTGGAATTTTACGGTGGTACCCGGTATGACTGCGCTTGATTGGGTGGTTTAGGGGGTCGTGGCGACGAGGGGGAGGGGAGTTCAGCGCGGCGCCGGCGCTTGGGAGAGGATCTGGGTGGGTGCGGCCGCCGTCGGCCAGGAGGCAGGGGATCGTGGCTGGTCGGGCAGGGAGTGGCGGGGGGATGAAGTGGGTGGTGGGTATTTTTCAATAGGAGTATTTTAGGTATTTTTCAATAGGAGAATTTTACAATAACAAAATCTTGATGACAATTCCAAATAAAAGATCGATTTTCAGTTTTAAAGTTTCAAATATAACCAGACTTTTATTATTCAATTTTTTGATGATCATTATTTCTCAGATAAGCAATTTAATTTTTGCTTATGTTTTTTCCAAATCTGTACAAGGGCAAATCAGTTATTCCACCTAAGGGCAAATCAGTTATTTCATCAATTTTCCGAGGGCAAATTAGTCATTTCCCGAACCCAAACCCTAAACCCTAAACCCTAAACCCTCAACCCTAAACCCTAAACCCTCAACCCAAACCCTAAACCCTACACCCTTAACCCTAAACCCTAAACCCTAAACCCTTAACCCTAAACCCTAACCCTAAACCCTTAAACCCTAAACACCCTATAAACCCTAAACCCTACCCTAAACCCTCAACCTTAACCCTAAACCACCCTAAACCCTAAACCCTTAACCCTAACCCTAAACCCTAAACCCTTAAACCTAAACCCTAAACCCTAAACCCCCAAATCCTAACCCCTAACCCTAAACCTTAACCCCTAAACCCTACACTCTAACCCTAAACCCTAACCTTAACAATATACCCTTAATAATCCATAACCACAAACCTTAACCTTAGTGGCAGATGTTGAAAAAACATTTTAGGGGGTACGGTCAAAATACATTTCATAAATTATAATAGGATCAAGTGGGTAATTTTATGGAAGAAAAAAATTCAATTTTATAACAAAAAAAATTATTTTATAGGAAAAAAAATGGGGTCCCTGGACTGCACTTGATTAAACATGCATCTGCCACTACTTAACCCTATATATCCTATACCTTAACCCTACAAAATGCAAACCCTAAACCTAAATCCTAACTAAATCCCAATATTATTGAGTTGTAATATTGGGATTTTGTAAGCCTTACACTTGATATGTTGTCAAGTGTGACAGTGATACCTCCAATCTAGGTGTATGATTTCGCAATTTTATTTAAAGGCTATTTATTTTCCTTTAATTCTTGTTTATTATTAGTTAGTAAATCGGGGGTGTTACACATTTTTAAAATACTTTTTGTATATAATTTCTAAATAACAATGATATTCTATGTCAATAAAAATATCCTACATCAAAAAGTTCGTGTTAAGATTTGATATTTGGACCATATATTATTACATATACAAAATTCATTAATGAGAAGTGTCAAGTAACTATAAAACAACAAATACTGATTTTTGTAAATAAAAAAAACTTATAAAATGAGAATTGTCAAACTCAGAGTATTATAAGCTATGCATCCCATAGTATTTTTCCCATTTTTAGCTCTATGGTAAACTTTGAAATTTTTTATCAATAATATTTTAATGATAAATACAAAAATATATGGTCATGTGAGATATTGTTAAATTAAATTCATCTCCATGTGTAGTTTTATTATATTTGTTCTAAAAATGAGAAAAACAAAATGGGGTGGAGGGAGTTAAGGGTGTTCAAAAACTAGTCCAAACCAGAAAAATGGATTGAACTGGAACGAATTAATCGATAAGGTCTTCGTCTCTTCGAGTCGAGAAATTGTTTTTTTCTGGTCTTTACTCCGGCCCATTCCAAGAACGGTCCAAGCGGGTTCAGTCTGAGTTTTGGTCCGATTTTTCCAATCTAATCCGGGTCCAGCCCTAACTTGAACCGGTATAGCCTCCGGTTCTTGAGTATAACACAAAGTAAAATAAACAATACACCATACAAGATTAAGATTTTTATTTTTTATTTTTTATGACAAAAGAGCTATCAAATAAAAGGAAAAACAATCAAATACAGCAATTGACGACGCCAAGCACAACCAGCCAAGCAGTGAGAAGGAGTAACCCACAAACGAGGAACACAAAAGGCACAAACTGGATCAACTGGGAGGCCTGTAAACTAATACAAAGTATTGCAAGATATGCAACACTAGCCAACATAATTAGGTCATGTATGTTGATTGTTGAAAGGTATAAGCCCAGCCCATTAAACAAAGTAATTGGAAACCCTAGGGTTTTATACTTCAATAGCAGCATCTCAATCTCAAGAGTTGGTCGACATTGCAGAAGCAGACTGTAAAGAGGAGAGAGAAAGAAGAAGCTAAGGCATTTGCGATGGCGGCGAAGCAGAGGAAACCACGAGTGACCCGAAACCCAGAATTGGTTAAGGGAGTCGGAAAATTCTCCCGATCGAAAATGTACCACAAGCGTGGCCTTTGGGCTATCAAAGCTAAAAACGGCGGCGTTTTTCCTCGCCATGATCCTAAACCTGCTGAAGCAGAGCCAGTTGAGAAGACCTCAAAGTTCTACCCTGCTGATGATTTGAAGAAGCCATTGATTAACAAACGCAAGCCTAAGCCTGCTAAACTCAGGTTGGTTATCTTTCGATTTCGTCTTCTTTTGGAATTTGGTTATGATGTTGAATTGGGTTTTTTGTTAAATTTTTTTTCCCTGTTTTTTCAGAGCTAGTATTACCCCTGGTACGGTTTTGATCATACTTGCTGGGAGGTTTAAGGGAAAGAGAGTCGTCTTCTTGAAGCAGCTTCCTTCTGGATTGCTACTTGTCACTGGTTCGTTTCTCCGTTTAATTCTGAATTGATCATGTATAATGGTGTGTATTTAATGGTGGGATAGACATGTTGTGTTTAATGGTATATTTTTTATGTTGCTAATTGTCTGATTATAATTGTTTTCGAAGAGTTTTGGAAATTATATGATTTTGATTGTTTGGTAGTGATCGTATTATATTATACATCTTGCATGTTTAGCTTAGTACTTAGATTGTTAACCACCCCTCTTGATCATTTGAAAGTTAGGGTCATTTATATATTTGATAAAGACGGAAATTTATGCCAAGTACAAGTGGATCCTCGTATGTCCTGTAATGCGCTTCATTTAAAAACCTTGCTTTCTTTTTAGGCTCTGCTAATTATGATTTAGGGGTCAAAAATTATGGTGTATTGCTAGAGCATGCTGATAGTCAATTATCTTTCAAATCAAACCTTATGTAGTTGGTGTTTTATGATATATTCCTTCAAGAGATGCCATATTCCTATGTTATCTTTCATCTGTTGTATTAAAACTTCCAAATATACAATTTTAACCAACAAAACCTTTAATTATTTCAGAAAATTTATCAAAACGGACCTTTCGGAGTGGTCTTATGGTGACAAAGGACCTATAAAACAAGTGAAAAATTAGGACTCTATATGATTAAGCTTGTGACATGATTTTTGCCTCTGTTTTTATCCCTTCTTTTCCCTAATCACCATGCCCACCAACCCATTTTCCTTTAACCGCCATTCCACTACCATCCTGCCACTTTCCCAGAACCATAGCCATTTCTTTCCTCTCTCAACATTCTCTCTTCTAACTTCTTTCCTTCTACCATTGAAAGTCACCCTAAATCTAATAAAATCATTTAAATTAGATGAAAACCCTCTTTTCGATATTGAGCTACAAGAATAATGGAATATTGTATGAATAAGATTACAATCAAAACCCAATAACAGTAACAAAGAGGAGTGGAAATGTGAAATTTGCATGGTTGGGCAGTGTCAGGTTATTCATTTTGTTAGATTCCCTCTCAATGTTGTTTTCCAAATGTCATCTATGTATTATTTATTAATTTGCAATGGAAGATATTAAGTATTAAAGCAATGAAAATCAAACGGTCTTGTGTAATTTTGGTCTCAGAATTTAAATTGAATCATTAATAACGTTGGAATTAAGTCAAAGAGAACAAGCTATGTGTTCTACTGTATGTATAGATCATAATAGATGGTAAAAAAAAAGAGGGTGTCAATAATAAAAAGTCCAAATGTTGAAATATTTGATCTCTGGATTTAATTGAATAATTAATAACTTTGGAATCAAGTCAAAGAGAACAAGTTATGTGTTCTACTGTATGTATAGATCATAATGGTGTCAAAAGTATAAAAAGTCCAAATGTTGAAATATTTATGGATGGAGGATGTAAGAGCTTTACTAAAAAGCTTGTATATTTTTGTGTGCTACTAATTTTCTGTAGTGTTACAGGACCTTTCAAAATTAACGGTGTCCCCCTAAGGCGTGTGAACCAGGCTTATGTGATTGCCACCTCGACCAAGGTTGACATCTCTGAAGTTCATTTGGAGAAGTTTGATGACAAGTACTTTGCTAATAAGACTGAGAAGAAGAAGAAGAAGGGAGAGGGAGAGTTTTTTGAAGCAGATAAGAAGGTTTGGCATTCTGCCTCCTGCATCCAATTGCTCTTGTTTGTTGTTGGAAGTTAGCAATCTTGGCATAATGGCCATTGTTTCTAAGCTGATTATGTATTTTCTGACTCATCATTGTTTTCTGTCCTAAAATGCAGGAGGATAATGTTCTTCCGCAAGAGAAGAAGGATGATCAAAAAACTGTTGATGCCTTGATTGTGAAGTCAGTTGAGGGAGTGCCTGACTTGAAAGCTTATTTAGCTGCAAGATTTTCACTGAAGGCAGGCATGAAGCCACATGAGTTGGTTTTCTAAGGGGGCAATTTTGAATTATTGATTTTGTTCTGTTAATCTGTGTTTTTGTATGCTTGCATATTGGCAGTACTTCCTGTATTCCTTAGTCCTAGTTTGCAGTAGACATGGCTTACATATATTTAGATTATGAAATATATCAAGGGATATTCTTTGGTCTACCCTTTTCATCTAGATGTCTTTTTCCTTGCAGTCAATGAGATCACAATGAAATGATCAAGAGTAAGGTAACATGAAATGCCTCTGTTTTTGCTACTCTGTTCTTTTATTTTGAGGTGGGAGGTGAATTATCTCTTTGGTGGTTTTCTGCAAGCATTTGATAAACAGGAAATTAAGAAAATTTTATTTGCTGGGCATTTTGGTGTGTGGTTGAGGGAATGTGGATGATATATCTGGTTGGGTCTTGAATAATAGATTTTGTAATTTCTCTGTATCTGTCAAGAATTTTTTTTAAAATGAAGTTTTCCTCTTTAAGTAGCCCCTTCCAAAGCTGCAGTAGCATTACAGTGAAGATGGTATTTATGATTTTTCATTTGGTTGAATTTATCTGATTAGAAATTCTATATTCGATTATTTGAACAAACAACCTTAGTAGAAACCCAATCTAGTTTTGCTGCACCAGGTAATGCCTGTTAAATTCTCTGTTTACCTTGGAATATACTTATAATTTTAGTGACTCTCAACACTTGCTCCTTCACTAGATGAGAAAAAGAAATGACTGATTATGGGTAACAAGTGATTGTATTTTTATATTTGCTGAGAAGATAAATTTCTTTTCCTTGGATGAATATGTAACAAACAAGTACAAGAGGAGAAATGAATACGTAGTATTAAGTTTTCACAGAAGGAAATATAGGAGAGGGTTGTGCATAGAAGCATAGTTATTAAAATAATTTTTATGTTGTATTGTTGTAAATTTGTAAGGCTGTAAACCTGTACAGAGTAAAAATAATAATTCTATCAGAAACTGCTTACTCGATTGTCTGATCGGAATTGACTTGAACTAAAATGATGTGGTAATCCATGTTTCTATTTTCTAATAATAATTATATTATTAATTATAATATATTGGCATTTGAAATGAGAATTACTAGAACTGTACTAGTCCAAACACAAATGTAAACTCAAATTAGTCTATTCTGATAAAGATCTAATTCGATTTGACTAGATCTAATTTTAATCCAAATGATGGATTGAAGTTACTCTTTAGTTAGATCTGATTTTGGTCCCTATATTTTTTGCTTTCAATCTTGAGAGAATACTTTCCTTTTTTTTTTACAAAAAATATTTGCTTTTGCCTCCATATTTTGATGCAATAACACCAAAATAAATGTGATGCATTTTTGTTGAAAACATAGATATGTGGATGTATAAAATCATTAAAAATAAAATTACAACTGAATGATAAAACTAAATTAAATTTTAACCGTATAAAAAAATACCTGTTCACATATTCCAATTAATATTTGTTCACACCAAATAATTATTTGACAATATTAATTTTTCAGAGTAATTGTATTATTTGACACTATTAGATGATTTGATTATATTTTTAATTGTAATACAGAGTATAAGTCTATAAAAGTAAACCTTATGTTGTCAGTTATCAGCATAAACCGGATATAAAATACTTAAGGTTGAAATTAAATTAGAAATAAAGGATTATTATTCAAGTATGAAATAATAGGCATGTTGTTGTTTTCTGCCATACTCGTTGTTAGTTCAACACTTGATAATTGTTAATATAGCATCTGGCACAACCAAGTGAGATATTAATACAATTAATAACTCTATAAAAGTAAACCTTATGTTGTCAGTTATCAGCTCAGCAAATGTCAACTACATAAAATGAATATATGATGCACCTCTACAAGTACAATCATAAAAAGTTGGATGAATAGCATGTCAAAGCAGCCAAATTTATCAAGGAAACACCAACCTATGCTACACTACATCAAAAACCGCCATAAACATAGCAGCAACTATTATTTAAAGAATATAAAACAATAATAAGATTGTTGTCCTAAAGCTTTGTACGATACAAAGCAATGATGCGGCTAATTAACCACAAGGAAAAAAAAAATCTAGGAAAATCGAAGCCTGAGCAGAGTGACAGACATCTCCATATGTCAGCAAGGCAGGAGGTTCTACACTGTCAGACTGGAACAACTCACGTTATGATCAACTTGAACCTTTTGGTTTGTTCTTCTGCTTTTTAGCATCCAATGACCCTAAGCCTTTACCTAGACCGACCGGGGCCTGATTTGGTCGCTCACCTTGAACAATCTTCTCTGTAGGATCTTCAGGCCCAACAGCAGGAGGAGTTCCTTTTCTTTGTTTGTTCACTTCGCCACCTTCCTTCGACTCAGGAATCATCCCTGAACTTCTAATATTCAGGAGTTGACTACCAGGTTGAACTGGGGTAGCATGAGTACGAGGCAGCTGTCTTCTAGCATCAGCTTTCTTCCTGATTGAAGCTGCAGCACGAGCTGCTCTTTCATCAACTCCCCTTCCCCGAGTTACAGTTTCCCCAATCATAGCTGCATTTAAGGATTTGTTCACGGAAACAGATGAGCTACGAGATCCTCCAGCTGCAGCAGCTGCTTGTAGACCCTGTACCAAATTAGAAAAAGGCATAAAGTCACATGAATAACAGTAAGTAGATTCACAACGTACAACATCAATCAGGGCTAGCAAAGAGTTGAAAGAAATTTTGAACTTCAAAACAGATACTAAAGCCCCGTGAAAAAAAAAAATTAATAAATAAATAAATAAATAAATAAATAAATGTCCTGGCATTTTTGAATAACAATTATCTTCATAGTGACGAGAAAAACTAACACCCGTCTACAATAGGAGGGTAGCAGATTTTTATCTTGGATATTGCTCCTCAACCATGCTTGACAAGAAAAACAAGCCACAAATAAATGGCAAAGCAAAAGTTTCACCAAGTTTTTTCAAAGAAAAAAAAAAAGAGAAAGAAGTATTACATAGTTCTTATTACTGAAAGATACAGTACGAAAGATGAATGATGTAGAATGTTGCAAAAAACACCGATAACAGAAAATATTCCAAATCACTCAATATACCTTCAAAATATCAACCGCTCTTCGAGCAGCAGTTGCATCAAGAGCTTGTCCCTTTTGTTTCTGCGAATTCATCTGTTGGAAAATAACAAGGAATGGTAACAAACAAAATAAAAAACTAAACTAGTACATGCTAAAGTACTAGAGATTAAAAAAAAAAACCTAATACACAATAAATGCGTGTACCTGATCCTCACGCTTCTTAAATGTATTCATCCAGTTTTGTGAGTCACGCGTCCTTGAATCGTCTTCCCCAAGTTGCTTGACAAGTATTTCATACGTCTTCTTTTCATGCTGCCACGCCAAAACCCCTTTTGTGAACTCAGAGAATCTAATCTATGGAAACTTTCCAGTGCATAATAAATCTCAAACTTTATTCAGTTGTTCTTTTGAACAAAATGCATACCTGGTGAGAAAGTTTATAGGCACCCATACAATTAAACGCAATAGCAAGAGCATGATAACACACAGCAGTTTGGATATGCTCCTCCCCTAGAAGCCTCTCATTCTTTTTCAGAGCTTCTTGCAGGTATCGAAGAGCTGTGTCCATCTTTCCAATATCTTGATACATCATTGCAACATTTATGAAAGTTGCAGCAACATCAGGATGATCAGGTCCAGAGGACAAGCTCAGTAGTAGTAATGCCCTCGACATATGACGTAAAGCAAGCTCAGTTTGGTTAAGTCCATGATAGAAAAGAGCCATGTTGCCATAACTGCAAATACCAAGCAAGATAAGCGTGAAAAAAATAAGAAATTTACAAGCCTCTAGAACAGATGAAACATTTTAGAAAATAGAACTGGCTCCAAATATGAGCACCATAAGGCAGAACAAATACCTGTGAGCAGTATCAGGATGATCCAAACCAAGGCAACGTTCATTTATAATTAGTTCTTTATGTTGCTGCATTATAGCTCCAGCCATGTCCCCAGCATGATATAGAACCATTGCAAGGTACCTAGCAGGTAAAAATTATAAATGTAAATAAATGAGCTGAGATCAAATTGGGTTGATGTGAAAATAACATTAATTTGAAATATTAGTGTGAAGTTAATCTCCTATCTTTCTCTCTGTTCACTCAATTTGTTTCAAGAACCATCCTTGATTTTAGTATCAAACCTATGGAGAGGGGATATCTTTTATATCTACAACTTCAAATGCATCAAGGACAAAACATATCAGTAAAATAATTATATACCTGCAACAGTTTGCAACCTCCCTATGCATTGGACCAGTCACCTACAAGCACAAGGTAAATAACTTAGCTAAAATTTCATTTGACCCAGAAAGCTACAGAGTATTTAAATATTTAAACATGCTCAGTCACATAATACGTTCATATCACAGGGAAGTTTAAACCTGCTGCAGTATAGAAAATGCCTCCGAGAATGCTGTATATGCCTCACCAAGCATACCCTGCAGAGAGGGATGAAGAGTGTCAAAAAAACATACTAAAGATGGGCCTCCACATATGAATATACCAAGAATTGTTGACTTCAAAGCCAGAGAGAGAAAATCAACAAAGTGTAAAAAGCTGGAAAGGAAGTGAAAAAAAAAATAATAAAAAAAAAAAAAAAAAAAAAGCACAAATGGTGCTCAAGTGCTCAACAAAAGTTCTTATCTCTGTAAATCATGATCAGCAAAACAAAGGAAGAGATAAGAGACAAAATAGTGTAGCAACTGAGCATCTAAACTCAGCCTAGCCCTAAACACAATTACCCGCCACAAAAATATTCTCGGACACTATCCTCCCAAACTCCACACCTCCACATTATAACAACTAATCCTCTCGCACCACCTCTCAATTAAATCATATTGCCTCTATACTCTTTACGAGTTTACTGCCCTCAATATTGCAATTATTCACTGTGACTTTTAAATTGATTTGTTTCTCACCCATGCTTGCTCATAGCACACTCTAAAATACACCATAATCGCTTGCAGTCTACAAATTTATCTGTCCAACTCTTCACTGCTTATAAAAACTTTTGCCATTCAACACATAATGAAAAACAAAACATAACCATCTAATGCGCAAACAAATTAAGAAAATAGTACAAATAGTTCAGTCAAATAAACATTCAACGCAATTTCAATATTTAGCCTATGAGAGTGCTAAATATGGGGAGGAGATTGGACATACCTCGGCCAGCTGGACCTTTCCAGTCTCAACAAGATCCTTGGCTTCTGAGCATACAGGAATTGAATGCTTCACAACTGGCTGGAGATTCAAGATGTCTGATATTTGAAAAGGTCTTGCATCAGTAAGATCATATTTACGAGCTGCAAGACTTATTCCAACCTGTCAACAAAACCAAATTTTGAGATGAATGAAAGGAAATAGTAAAGTTTCACATTCATGCAAACAAGCATACACCAAGTAATAGGCACCAAGGACAAAGGGAATAAGAAAACAGCAAGAACGTAAAGAAACATGAATATTTTACAGAAACTACGCAAGGAGAAGAACATGTCATATACATTTTACAAAGACAAACCCACAAAACATAATAGCATGTGTCTAGTGGTATAAAAGATACATTACAATAACGAGACATATCTAGTGAGAAATCCTAATTAAAACTTCTTGTCCATCACTAAAATCTCATCTCCCTATACCTCTTAAAAATTAACGGATATTGACACTAGAAAAGGCACCAAAATGGAAGACAGAGCAAGTACAGCAAGCCTGACAACCCAAAAAAAAGAGAGAGGAAAAAAAGGACAAGATTATTACTAATCCATAAAGCCACTCTGTACACCCTTCCATCTCTTTATGGGGGGCATTACTATTGGGCACCTTAAATTGTAGTTTTACATCTTTTAAGCATATCTGAAGGTTGACCAGCCACTAGAATCTAAAACCTTTTCAAAACCATAGAATTTTAGATTATATTATGGATTAACATATAAGAGGGCAATAGTGCACTAATACATGTAGATAAAATTAGACGAGAAATGCTATGCATCAGCCTAATCACCTCAAGCCACCAATTCTCTAGACATATGCCATAGTATAAATAGATAGGGAGATGATAGATAAATTTCCTTGAGATATTAGTTGTCTTTGGATGCACTGGACATTTAACCGCACCCTAAATACGAAGTATAATTTTCCCCATCAAGTTCTTATTCTAACTATTTCCATTATAACTAATACTTAATCCGAATTACATAACAAAGAGCAATACTCTACTATAACTATTGCTAAATTTATTTCCTTTTAGGATTGAACACAAGTTCCAGAATACTTACTTAGTTCCTGTACAATACAAAATAACGACGTCTCAAGGTAAGGACCATATATTATTTTGGCTGAGATCTCACATTAAGATAGATCTCATAAAAACCTCTCCAAATATATACGGTAAATCCCTGTGAAGACCATCTTAATACGAGAACCCATGACAACCAAAGGGTACATAATCTAGGTTTCTCCATTTCTCACACTGAATAGTTCTATTAAGCAACAGAACTTTACTTAGCACCATCAATCATGTCAGGTTCATGCTAACATTTTCAGAATTATGACTTACGGATGAAATTATATAAGATTAAGAAAAAAAAATGATAATTACCTTATGACAGAGATTGCGAATAACAGAAACTAACTTCACACGATTTCTTGCATCCTCCGGTAGATCAAACTACAAAATACAGCCTTATATTAGTTGAGGAAAATGCACAAAACTCCCCTTCCCCCCAGTTTGGCAACAGCAATACAATTAAGTATATGAAAGTTTTTTAAAAAATTCTTCCACCTGAATACCTGATATTTGATTTTCGAGAATTCCAAGATATCAGACCATAATCCGTCAGAACTTAATCCCATGTATAAAGGTGAACCCTTTTTTACAAATGACTCAGTTCTTGATCTGTACTTTCCCTTCGCAGGCTTCTGATGTCCTCCCTGCTCCTTTAAAAACCAAAATTCAAATTCACATAAACATATTAAAAAAAAAAAAGAAAAAAAAGATATATATATGGGAAAAATGGATGCTCAAAACACCTGCAGTGGTGAGAAGCACAAGGTACCAAAAACCAATCATCAATGTAAGAAAGGGTAAAATTATTAGTCATTGGAATTTAAAAAAAAAAAATACTTATATTATAATCATGGAGAGTTACGTAGAACAGAAGCAGAGGAAATGTTGGTGTGGAAAGAGGAAGGGGGTGCGGGGAAGAGAAGTGTGAAAGATAAAGAGATGCAACAACTGGTTACTTTGTAGTGAGCACTTTAAAAGTTGATTAAATTTACAAGGGAATAGTAACATATAGTATTATAAAAGTTTTTAAATTTTTTTTATTGTCATATCACAATTCCCCTCTAATTTTTTATTTCTTTAAGAAATTGTTGTGTACTACCGTACCATATATCATTTCCACAGCCATTTATTCCACAGGCGAGCATTTTCTGCATGCATAATCTAGTGAAAAACATTAGAAGTCTCCCCCCCCCCTCTCTCTCTCTCTCGTTCAATACCTTTTTCTGCGATCGACGCAGCGAATTGCTGTTGCTGTTTTTTTCAGACACGACTTGAGAATTGCCGAAGAAACAGTTAAAAAAATGAGCGACTGAAGGCGCAAGTTCATGATCATCTGTATCTCTCATAATATCCTGTGATGCAAAACAATAAGCTTTACTTAGTAAACAGACTACAAAAACTGCAGGTTAAGCTATTTTGTATTTTTGTGGCTAAAGATCAAACAAATCTAAATATGGGTAGATTAATAAGGGCAAACAGATCTTACATGCAGATCAATAATTTAATTTGTATCAGGCCATTCAATGAGTAAACATGCAGATCAATAATCTTATTGGTTTCAGTTGTAAATGAGTAGGTTAAAAAGGCAAACAAATCTCTCATCACATTTAAGCTAAGAAACTCTATGGAGAGAGAGAGAGAGAGAGAGAGAAAGTGAAATGAACATTCAAACTCTACTTCATTTCTTTGAATAGTATGTTCCAATTTTATTTTGACAGCAGATAAATTGGGGTTAGAATCTGAGCAAGGAAACATATGTTGCAGCAGCATGAAAAGTAGGAAGAAATCTATTAAATAGAAAACTAGCATTTGGACCACCCAGGGTCATTACATGGTTATTCATAAAATTAATCATCAGGCAACCTTTTTTTATTACTAAATTTTATTTATTACAGTGTGATTTATTACAGTAAGGCATATATGGTTAGAACTTGAACTTCCATGTTCAAATCTTATTTAAACTATAATTCTAATTTTTTTAATCCAAACAGATGACATGCAATAAATAACATTGAATGATGATGAAGAGCGCCACGTGGCATGTGGGCTTCCATTAGAACGTTCTTTAACATATAGGATGAGCAAAAAATGAGTCCGATGGAAATGCACAATTGGTGAATTCAAATGTAGTGTTGCAATGGTGTTCTGGTAAGGTGGGTATTGATAGTGGTAGTTGGTGATCCCAGTCTAAAATATAAAGCTGAGAAGAGAGGAATGTTTCCCACTATATCAATCATTGTGATGTTTCCCAATTTCTTTCCCACTTTGGATCCCCCTACAAGAAACAGCCCACTCATTTATTGTGATATTTCCACAGTTTTCATCTCAAAATAATTGCAGGACTTTTAGTTTTGCACTATGTATACACTAAATATTGCCATTCATTTTTACTAATTTATAGAAAATAAATGTAAAAGTAAAGTCTTGTTGAACCACTGTCATTGCATACTTTCACAATATCAATTTTTTATAATTCTTTTACTTTGTAGCATACTAAATGCTTCAGTTCAATATCAATAAATTGCCAATTTGTTTTAGGACATTAAAAATAAGTATACTCCCTCTGTTTTTTTTGTTTTTTTTTTTTTTGAATTGTTACGCTTTGACCGGCACATAGTTTTAGGCAATTTAATTGACTTTAATATAAAAAGAATTAAGTGGGGTAGTTGGGGTATTAAAAATTATAGAATATAGTGGAGTTAATATTGTGAGAAGGAAAGAAATAATAACAAAAAAGTAGTGGTGGGTTTCAGTTGAGAACATGAGAGTAGAAAGATATATTATTAAAGTTATTTGCCAAAAATGGAAGTGAACACTAAAAAAAATGGCCGCATTTGGTAGTTGTACCGATAACAAAACAAGTATCGCGTGACAGTGACAATAACTTATAGGAGAAATCGGATATATTAAATGAACCAGCACTAAGAAGAGATAAAATGATTTCAATGATTGTAAAGAGCTGCTTGACTATTTATAACAGCAATAATCTCTACTATTGTCACACCAGTTTCATATACTCGGAACAAATTATAAATTTCCCAATTGGACTACCAAAGTCTGCCCTTGATTCAAAACAAGTAGTACAAATTTAACAGAATTTACCTTGAGCAAGTGTTTTGCAGCCCTTACTGCAATCTCATTAGTGCAAAGATCCCAAAGATGTGGCATATGTCTGGTCCCTTCAGCCACCTGATAAATCGATCAGATATGAGTAACTTAACATCTCCATTATTCTACATCTAACACCCACCCTTCTATGCATAAGAGTAGCTTGAGAGAAGCAGGCATATGTATCACCAGGTCAAGAAAAGCAACATACCTCTTACCTTTATAACAAATCAATATGACCCCAACTCATAGTTGTTACCAAATAAAATAAAAAATTCACTACATACAAAAACAGCATACCTTTCCAATATATCGAACATTGATTCCATGAGCATGAAGTGCTTCAGTCAACGTTTGACCATCCATAGGTGAAACTTCAAGTGTGCAAAGATCTTGTATGAACTTTGGTAGCACAATATCAGTGAGATAACTGCTAGCTTGCCTCACATTATTTTCATCTGATGCTATCTCCTGAATCAAAACTCATCGTTTTTATATATTAATTTAGGCATACAAATGAAAAACACAAAGGTCCAAAACAAGGAGCTAAAACACGCACTTGAGGAGATCCATCCAGCTTAAACTCCGTAAATACATTTGGATTGAAACATATTTGTTCACTTGCTTCAAATTCAGTAGCAGCAGACACAACTTCTTCAGCATCATTACTTGTTTCTTTATTAATATCCTGCAAAAAACAATGCAAAGGTAGTTTGGTTTATAATATGCAATGGAATTTCTTTAGAGTGAAAAGCTAACAAGAATACAACAATAGCTCTTCTTCAAGTAGCTACACTCATATTAATGAAATACTACCTCCATTCTTTTATGTTTTACTCACTTACAATAAATACGCAATTTTAAAAATTGTTGAAGAATGTGAGTGGGTGTTAAGTAAAGTAAGACAGAGAATGTAAAAAGGTGGGTTTGTGTAAGGAAAAGGTGAATAAAGTAAGAGAGAGGGTATGAAAAGGTGTAATTATTGTGGGGTGGAAGGGGTAAGATGGAAAAGGGGTATTCCATGAATAGAATAAAGTAAAGTGAGTAGAACAATACGAAAGTGGGTAGAACAAAAAAGAACTGAGTACAAAACCATAAGTATCTTAAATTATCTAAATGAAGAATATATGGCTGAAGTGTAGCTGGTAGTTAACAAAGGCATAGACCAAGAAATAAGTCCCAGTAAACAATGAGATAGACAGATAATAGTTCCTACCCCTCTGGATTTCAAGAAACAAAAGAAAAAAATAACAGCCACCACAAAAAAAAAAAAAAAAAAAAAAAAAAATAATAATAATAATCTGAAGGTAGAAAAAGGCAAAAAAAAGGGAAATCCAGCTCAACTAATCAAGTCAGAATAGACCTGATTCTAGAAAAAAAACCACTTGGTAGTTCGATGGATAATCAAACATTTTCATTAAAATCAATATATAAAATATTCTTATAAATATCCAAGTTAGAATAACCAGTGGTCAAATACCTACAGCATTAAGACATCTAATGCCAGTAAGGCCTTATAATTCCATTTCCTATCCAGTAGACATTCCTGCCACTCTTCCGTGTCCTGTTTAAGTCCTACATAAAAAAACTCACCACTATTCTTCTTTTTTCCCTCCATTGTTGTGGTTAACTGGTCAATAATATGATACCATAGTGTCCAAAACTATTCTATTGACTTTCTTTTGGAAAAAACATGCATATAGTACATGTCTACAGCTGTCACCAATGAATAAAAAAAGTCAATAAATACCCACTATCTACAACTGCCACTGGCAAAAAGAATTTGTGCAAGTAGGTAGACTGAAGCAGTGAAGCTCCCCTGAGATAAAGGGAGACTGAAGCAAAGAAATGTGTGAGATACAGAAAGACATCAACATATAGAAATATGGAAAGCTTCTCTCCAGCTTATTATATATTTCTACTGTTTCATAATCAATTTTTGGACCAATCTCTCTCTCTCTCTCTCTTTCTCCCCCTGCCCCCCCCCCCCCAAGATAACATGGATAAACAATGATTTACATTTACCTAATGACGGGCCCAATAATTCACATATTTGGGTATGTCAAAAACAATTAGAGCTACATGTTAAGAATATTAAGACAGTTGAAGAAGCAGACAACCAAATCATTGCATATTAATAACTTAGAAGGTGCACATACTTCGCTGCTCAGATCTACAGCAGAAACGTCACCGGATTGCAAATCCAACTTAGAACCATCTGACAATTCAGAAGCCAAGCAATCATTTTCCTCGGTTTTTGATTTACAAGTTGGTCTCTTTGCAGCTTCCGCCTATTAACAAGATGAAGATAAACATTAGGAAAACTGAAAAATACACCAACACTGCAATCTTGTTATGACAATAAATGCTAAGACTCACTTGACAAAATGCTCTTATAAGTTCAGGCCTCAATATGCAGAAGCGAGAGCCTGCTCCAGTATAATTAGCATCACGAGGAGTGACCCTCATCAGATCCAGAAGGTAATGCCTAAAGTTAATAAGCAAAAAGTGATAATAAATTATTAAATGAAGCATACAATCATGGAGTTCCCCACATAAATATAAATAATAAAAATATTAATTAAAAAGAAGAAGAAGAAGGAGCAAAAGCAGGACAGCCTTCTCCAGCCTGTTAGATTTAGTTCTTTCTATGTCAAATGTGAATGAGCTTATGAGGTAACCAATGTACTGTAGTTTGCATCAGAATTTCTCATTGCTTAAATGTTTTTTCTTCACATAACAGAAAGCCACATAAGACAAAAATAATTTCCATACAAATTAGAACAAACCAATACATAAACCTTAAATTTATCCAGGAAGGATGTAATTACAGAGAGAAATTCTAACAAAATAAAAATAAAAAATTCAACAAACAAGGTCAGGAAGAAAGCAAATATTATAGCCCATGGATAGTGAGGCAAGAAACAAGTTCCAACTTCCTTATTGTTGCAGAGCTTTGATATGTTCAATGAAGTGCAAACTGAGGATCATTGTATGGAATATCTGGATGATAAGGCTATGATCTAGGTCAAACTTAAGCACCATGTCTTATACAAGAAGGGCTGAAGTTGAACAAACAGAACACGTTAATGACTAGACAAATGTACACATTATAGTGGAGGCTACAGAATAAGTTGTACACGTTAATTACAGCATAAAGAATAATTTGGACTTCTTAACGATCAAAAATTGCTCGACAGACAAGTAGAATACCAAATCAATTCCTTCATAGAAACAATCTGTAGAGAGGCAAGTGTACAATAGTTCGTACAGCAACTGCATTGTACTGGCCTCAGAATAAAGATTAAGTTGGGCTTCTAAAGGAACATATAGCAGCTGTACTGGCCTCAGAATAAAGAATAAGTAGGGCTTCTAAAGAAACAGATATGCAGGTGTACCGTGTACGCATTGCTTGATCAACAATATTAACAATTAATGCACAAGAAGCTCCTCTAGGAAAAAAAAAAATAGATATGCAGGAAGTATTTCCCTTCATAAGCAGAAAACCTAAGAAACAAACAATGATCCATGATTTCTCACCAATGCCCATTTTATCCTCTTAATAAAAGACAGCAACCCCAGAAAACTGCTTTACTATTGACATATTGCAATACGCACATGTACAATTGAATTGTTTTCCAACCCGCTCATGTCAAAAAAAAAATGAACTACCACCTCCATCAAATAATGAATCTAGTTACAAATACTCAAAATGGCTCTAGTGCCTATTTTATGTTGGCTGGGTCTTACTGCATAATTATAAATTTTTATCAATTTTTTGAAAATGATGGTCGTGGTGGTACAGCCATACCATTTAAATTTCTAGATTTGCTGGCAGGAACAGTCTTTGTGAGCAAGTGGGCAAAATCAGTCTGATTTCCTCTGCCGCTCTTTATGCCACATTTGAGTTTATCTTTTTTTTCATTGTTCAATAGAGTGAGTTGGTTTAAGATTTATTTGCAAGAAAGGAAAACTTGTAATTACATCTTTTCAAGTTTTCTATAAAAATTTAAATAATGAAAACAAATCAACTTAGCAGCTATTTCTTTCAGGAACACACAGAGTCGACAATACAACAGACAGCACTGCCCACACGCAAATTTGCCTCTGAGGAATGCTGGGCAGGGCCACCTTGAAAGGTGTGAGCCACATGCGGGGAGCCTTGAACATACCGGTTTTTGGAAATCTGAACGAAAGACCAGCCAGATAGCCAGCGTCCACCAAACTCAAGGGACTGAGAAATTAACAGATTACACAACTAATCTTCAAAACCACACCAAGTTATCGCTTTTGCCAGTAAAGGATCCCATCAAAAGGAAAATACAGCAGGTATTTTGTAGAGTATTATATGTCATCATTTCATCTAAACATTCATCAGTTAGGCATACAGCCCTTGACAGATCAAATAACTGGATCTCAAATAACAATACATTGCATTTTTAACAGTCCATTCAAAGAATAGACAGAAATCCTTGAACAGAGTTGAAAATGTAGGTCAAAAATATTAAAAAGCAGCAAGATTAAAAACCAAGGATATAACAAATAAGCATATATAAGATTTTGTAGAAATAAGGAAACATCACCTGTCATCACTACCAACAATACCCTTGCATTCCACGGGTCCAGCTAGTTTAAATGAATTTCCAGACTCGTCAAGGACTGTATGCTCCTTTAAATGAAGGCATTTTGCAGCTTCAAGCACCTACAAATGTAAACAATGGCTTATTATATTAGCAAAGACAGTAAGACACAGAAAAAGACCTCAAAATATTGCTGGTCAAATTGTAAGAGAAGGAAGAGGAGAGGTTTTAAAAAAAAAAAAAATCACTACATCAGAATTTCATAAAATTGCTTGTCTTGCGCATAGACCAAATGAATGAGTTCAAAAATAAGATCTCTGGAAAGATATAAAGCATGAAAGTCAACTTCATATGCTTCCTCAATCCTCACCTTAAGATGAAAATCCTCATTCCAGCATATCTTTTTGCCGTTGTCTACAGAACCATATAAAAGAGAGTCTGACTTATCTCCTTGAAGGATGCCAGGCAAAACACTCTGCAAAATCAACAGTTGAACCATGAATATGGACAAAGAAAAAAAATAATGCAACGCATTCAAGACAAGAAAAGGTCACACATCCTGTTTCTAATAAAAAATAAAAATGAAATAAAATAAAATAAACCAGCTATAACCAACCACGAGATATGCACTAACCAAAATGAAATAATAGCAAATTCATATGAAATCTCAGGGAAAATGGTTTAAAGAATGCAGCCCAGGAGTTGCAAATTAGAACCGATCGAAAGATATAACAGCAGGATAATATTACTACGTATTGGCTAGCACAGATCTTAGAACCAGAATGATAAAATTAATATGGAAATATTTCACAACACCTGTGCAACCACTCTATGACCTCTATAGTCGATAATAGCCATAGCAAGATTATACAGCCCCGGTACATCAGCTTCCTGGTACGCCTTGGTGCCTTTCAAATCATTATTAGCAGAAGCATATGTAGCTTGCTCACTATCAGCCAATTGAATTTCAGCAGATACATCAGTAGCAACAATTCCAGCACCATTCTTGTCATCTCTCTTCGACGCATTGGCTTCAACCCCATTGCAAATATCAGCTGCACCATCAGATGATTTATTCAAAGTTTTCCCATTATGATCATGTCGAATACCAGTAACATTGGACTTCAAATCAGTATTTTGTATGTGGGTCCGCGGCAGCTGCTCAAGGTCCGCATCAACAGCAAAACTGAAGAAGATATTGTTGTGCACATACCTAGTAGAAGAGTAAACATGAGATGATGACATTAAAACCAGTTTGGAAAGCAAACATGCAAAGTGTAAAAAACATCCAACCAACATAGTTTGTCATGTCGGTAGCATCAGGGAAACCCCCCTCCCCCCCCCCCCTTCCAACATAAATAGTCAAATTCAGTGCAGCTGGCAATGACTAATGAGAGGGGGGGGGGGAGAGGAATTAGTACATGTTAACAGTTCAAAAGGCTTGGCAAATGGCCAAACAATTGAATTTAGAGCCTTAAATCATCAAAATCCTGTAGGAACCACAATTTTACATATTTGAATTTCACATAAGCCAATATGGAATCTAGCATATTGGCCATTGACAAACATAAATAATGACAGAAAACACTTGAATTAATTCATAGATTAAGTCAAGTCTTGAGCAACAAGATATGGTTGGAACGATGGATACCAAAGAAATGCACAATATAAAAATTTTATCAATGCAACAATTGTTAAGTTACTAGGAGGCAGGACCACACAATTAATCCAAATAAATCAGAATTTTCTGAGTAAAGCACTGACATCACTGCCAATACTCCCTTGCAGCAATATATCAAGATATGTGCGAAAGAAAATGCACAATTTTTAAAACTTTATCAGTGCAACATCTGTTACATTATTACAGGCACACATAAACAATCCAAGCATTCAGACAAAGCACTGACCTCACTGTCAAAACTCGTACCCCTCGTCTTTAATTAGTTGGTCATCACAAACAGAACAAAGAATATATGCATGAAGATAAAGAGCCAGTATGTATTCTGTGAAAGATGAGCAAAAGAGGAAGAAGCCTGCAATATCTATTGTTAATAACACTCACATGTGAAAGCATTCAGGATCTGTCGGATTGATTGGAGGTATACATTTGTTGATGACTCCGATGGCACCATCTGTAGCCGCGTCAACAAAGTCAGAAGTAACTTTATATAGAGCTCTGTCACGTAGAATCCTGAAATGAAATTGCACAGTGAATAGTAGTTGCAAAATGGAACGATATCTATACAGACTAACATGAAAAATTAAATTAAAGTAAACATACAATTTAGTGCATTATAGCAAGTTAGCAACAGTAAAAAGGTGACGCACCTTTCCTGGGGAGTCAAATGCGGGAATTCTCGACATGATTGCAACTCTTCGTTCCAATCCCTTTGCATGCCAATTAGCTCACTTCCATACATCAGTGTTAGTGCATTTTCAGCCCTGGCTGCATCACGTTTGTGCTCTGTAGAAAGCAATTTGGAAAAAGTTATTTGAATAGCACAAGAGTAACAGAGAGATTTCAGTACAGAAGCGAAAGATGCAATTCTCACAGATGTCAAAAATATAGATGAGGGTATCTGCATATATTGGGAAACCATACAGACAGAGAGCAACATAAACTTCACATGTCCACCATAAATCAAAAATACAAAATTAAACAGGTTAGACCATTAGAAAATAACACATCCATGTATCCATCTAATCAAGCTTTTAATTCTTCTATACGGGTTCGTACAAACACTGAGAGCTATCTAAAATGACCCGATCAAAGAAAAACTCAATCAATCCCGAAGTGACCTAAACAACAATTCGATCCACAGCGACAGTGATTTAAAATAGCTCAACCTTAGAGTGACCCAAACCAACTTTATCAACTCCAAACCCACATATTAGATTAGACATCTCTAGATACACACGGCCTACTAGCCCATGCAACTATGCAAGTGGCATACTAGTCGTTAGCACCCCTTTAGACATCTAGTCAAGGCTCCCAATCACAATGCAATGCTAAGTGCGCTACGAAGAGGCTAAATAAGAGACGAAGTACACAAAAGGTTTTCAAAGAATGCTTAGATTACTTTGGAAGAGAGTACAAAGGTTTTAGTTGTGTTGGCTAGCTGTACAAATGAACCATGGTGCCTATTAATAGGCATCCATCCTACCTGCATAGCCTGTGAAGAAAGTTCCAAGCCTGCTAGGAAGATTTCACAAACTCGCCTCGTAGAGCCTTCTAAGGCACAAGACTGCTTATGTACACACATAGAATCCCCAGATACATTTAACTATGTACAAGAAGACCCTTGAGTAATTTAAAATCATCTATGCTAGAACACTCCACACAAGAACCCTTTAGTGCCTTACAAAGCATGGAAGCATTAAGCTTCACGTTGTCTCCAAACTCGTATTTCAGGACCTCATCTCGGAAATCCGACACCATCACACCACCATGATGTTCTTTGTTTATAAAATGTTCAAATTTATATTTTTCAGTAAATTAATCTTTGTTAACTTTATAAAATGCAGTTATTCATTAAATTTTGAAGTTCTCATTAACCTTTATATTTCAAGTTACCTAATAAATCTTTGTTTACACATAAAATGCAGTTCTCCATTAACTCTTGATGTTTTTCCATGTAAAATGAGTTTTTGTCGCTTCCCCTTAATCAAATACTACCTCCGTTTCAATTTATTTGAATATTTACCATAAATGAATACTACAAATTATTTGCAACAAATGTTTTCTTTCCTTTTTTACTAGTCATTTCTTTCTATCTCTCTCCTCATCACAAGCAACTTTATTTTTCTATCTTCATTTACCACTTACAAATAAAGTACCTAGATATTGGTGAATATCACACCGTTGCAAACAAAATGAAACGGAGGTAGTAAATAATAAATTTATTCATGCTGATAGCAATAAACATAGAGATCATATACAGTTTATGGCATATATACCACAAAATAACTGAAGAGGTAATAATCATCGACTGGTATAAAAATATTAAAATTACAGCAAGAAGACCAACATTAACATAAACCACCACAAAGCATAGAGTGAAGAAAATAAAGGCGCATTTCCTATCACATAAACTCGAGAATGATTTCTTCAATAATAAAAATAAAAAATAAAAATAAAAAACCTCGAGAATGACATTCCAGGCACAAGGTCATATTAGCATAATGATAATATGTAACAGAGTTGGGGGAAACAATATCAAATAATACAAGGAATTAATTACCAGGTAAAGGATATGAACCAAGCCATGAATTTGGAGGCAACAAGGATTGGACATTTTCAAACGGATGTGCAGCGGCTTTCTGCTCCAAAACTTCCCGAAAGGCTTCACGATACCCAAAAGAACACATTAAGAACGACGGGAAAAGCCATCTTGGAGTTACACTAATTATAATCAACATATAACTAAACAGATGATAGCAAATTCTACCTTTCTTAAACTTTGAGCTAATTCTTTGCAAGAGGCCAATAAGAGTAGTTGCTTCAAGAGAAGCTTTGGATGGTCTGGGATCTAAACTGTTCCCGGCACTTGAATTGACATAAAACGTTCTTGTTGTTCCCGTGATGCAAAACTTGCCGCCTTCCAATGTAGTCACGTCCAAATAAAGTAAATCTCCAACGAGCCTAAAATCATCAAATATAACATGGAAACAAAATGACAACGCCAATTAGGTCAAAGAGGTAGACCACTACAGAGATTCTATTTAAAACTGTTCATAGAGCAACAATAACCCATAGTGCAAGAAAATAGAGCTTCACCTTCTGTGACTTGGAGGAGGGTTAAAAGATGAGAACACTATACTTTCAATACATTTGATCTCTTTGGAACAAGTGGAGAACAATTTATTCAAAGAGCCAGTAACATCCTCCATAAATCCAAAATTATCCAGTTCTCGAACTTCTGCTTTAGCTGAATCTGCAAGCATACACAAAAATTAGCTCAAATTGTTGGAACTAGTTAGTAATACATTACAATGTACTATATATTTTCTGCTAAAGGACCCAAACAAGTAAGACCAAAAAAAAAAATCAATAGGTTTAAAAATCAAACCTTGTGCACCCTCAGAAGCACTAAGTGATTTCTCATGCTGTAGAGCAAGGGAGGTTGAAAGTGATGCATGAAGGGTTGAAAGAGAAAGCAATTCCCTTGTGCGGTGAATATGGGCCCTCACAGATCTGTCATCATAGAAAGCTGCAAAAATATTGCATGTAAGGATCTGGAAACAAAAATATCTTCAATGCTACAATGGAGCACAAGCATAGGAAGCTACTCCAAATTTCTGAACATTTATAGCATAAACAGCCTTATTTTACAGCCCCAATCAACTATATCAAACAGATAAAGAATACAGGAGATCGGAGGAAAGGCTATACTCGAGCAAAAGTAGCCATTACACATTGATCATTTCCTGTCAATCTTCCAAAAAAATAGCAGCTAAGCCCTTGATAGGTAGAAACTATAGAGAGAGATGAGAGATAAATATTTCATTGATTGCATTAAACAAAGCAGCATACAAAGTCTTTTAAATAGTACTCCAAATAACAAACCACCACCTATTAAATAGGAACGTGAGCTAAATTAGTGTGAGTAGTGAACCCACTAACTTCTAATACTTCTCAACAAATGAAACATGCAGTTGACTAACAAATTAAAACAAACTAACCCACTAACTAACAATATGTTCCTATCCTAAACTGTAGGAACTAGTTTGAATCAATCCAGCAACATTCCCCCTTGATTCAAAGTCTCATACACTCAACTAAACTTTGCTAGTAACTTCAATATTCCATATTGCCATGAACTTCAACTTGAGCTAGCTGACTTTTATCTCAACACGAACTCTTCGCTGCACACTTGACTTTAGAAGAGTTTGCTCTCTTCCACTTCGAATTTCTTAACATCTTGCTAAACGTTGTAATTTGTAATGCACATCTCATCACCTACACAATATTGTTGATGCACATCATCACCAACACCACTTTTCATTGATTGATGCACATTATCACCAACCTTTGTTTTATAAAGCACATCTCTTCATAAACTCTCTTAGACATAGTCCTCCAATTGACCATGTCAACTTGTAACAATAAAACATTAGTACTATCTTGGAAACCGTGTCTGCGTTGAATACGACTTCCACTCTAATCAGATTGCAATTTATCTGACATCCACACAATCTTTACCTTAAACAAATTTTTGCCCTCTTTTTTTTTCTGGATTAAAATCCAATTACATGGGCTAAAAGGGAACCCATCAACCAAACCAACCATTACTTCCATGGCTAAACACAAAAACACTCACAACAAATTTCACTCGAAAAACAAAGATATTTCTCGTAAACAATGAAATCAAGCAGCATTGCTTGTTTCTCTTACTCAATTTTTTTTATAATACTCTCTCTTTTTTTCTTTTGGGCTTCATCTTTTTCCCTTCTCTTTTCGGCTTTTCCCAATATCTAACCTGAATCTCTTGATACCATGTTGAAACTAATACTAAAGGATAAAAATAATAATATTAGAGAAACATGAAGCAAGTAAGATAAGGAACTCAATAATATTACGGCATAGTACTTCACGAAATACAAGAGGCATATATATAGGCTAACAAACAACAAATTAAAGCTAATAAAGTGGAAGCATACAACCATGATAAAACCCACTAACAAACCCATTAACTACTAAATTCATTTGACTTTCTAACTTAACGGAATGACCAACCTAATACTCCTAAAAATACTCCACCCAATTATTGACCCAACTTCCTAAATAATAGCTAACTTCTCATGCACATCCCACTACTTTGAAGCACTACAACCAACATACCCCCTTGCTTCAAAGAGCATGCATCACTACAATGTAAACTACTCCAATAATTCTCTTTGCTATGGACTACGGACTACCAAGGTACAAGCAACCACGAGAACATAAACTAAGTTACTATATCAGTATATCCCAAAGCAAAACTAAGAATATCCATACAGTGTGGAAAGGTTATTCCACATATATTGCACCAGCTCAAAATGGGAAAAGACATCACATCAAGATCTAAAATGGGCTCACAAAATCAAACGCCCCACGAAGTAGTCAACCCAGACTCATATTTTGTAGCATATCATCATTCATCAGTATTAATTTTGCATGATGTAAATGCCGCCAAATGCCATCATCTTAAGAAGCAGCTTCACCTTAACGAAATTCCAAATCAAAAGTGAAAATACCCAATGATTGAACCAACCATATGATGGAAATTCAGTAGTTTAGAAAAAAGGGGTGATAGCTACTAACGGTACCCTAGTGAGCAGCTACAACGTGTCAGAACCAATTGATGCTTTAAACTTTGTTGGGCTGATAAGTTGAATAAAATATTGCTTAATTTGGATTTTGAGTTCACCTAGAAATTACGTTAATCCTAAGTAAATGTGAAATGGGAGATGAAGGTGATAAGTTACAAGACAACAACGAAGATAGTAGGTAAAAATTTAGAGTCCATGGTCTTATACTCATATATAGAGTTCTAAGAAAAAAATATTTAAGAATTGAGCAAAATAACAGCAAAAGTATATTTTTAAGAAAAAAAAATGGATAAGATACATGCACCACTTTCCCCTGGAATTATTACAATTCACACATGCAAATATAACTGACGATAAATAAATAAAACAGCATGTAGAAATAGCATTACTTCCTTAAATAGGGAATAAGATAGCACATTTATAAGCAATAAAAGCATAATTTTACTAAGATTGTGAGATTTTTAGAAGATTGTGAGATTTTTAGGGCCCAATAAAATTAATTGCTTGTCAAGTTTCCTTATATTCCTATTTTTAAGAAACGGAGAAAACTACCTGCAACCATTTCTAAAGAACAATCACCAGTGGTGATGTCAGCAACTTCAGAAATTTCATTGTAGTCTTCTAGTTGATGAACTACACCATCGTTAGCATGCAATAACAAATCATAACATGTAAAATAACATGTTTCAGGTGCATCGAGAAGAAATTGCCTCACGTCCATCACAGAATCACCAGGGTTGAGCTGCAAATCCATCAATAAAAAAAAAAAAATCAAACACTCTTACTAACTATACATTTCAACAAACAGGAATGAATATGTGATTATGTTTACGAGGATAACAAAAATTAGAAAATGGATAAGCATACAGGTACATGATACATATAGCCACATGTGAATACACAAGCATTTCTGTGTTTTTTCACCAAAATTTGAGAGCATAACAAACCTGCAACTCCAGCTTCTCACCACCAAGGGTCTTGACAGAAACGGGATAAAGATGAAGTTCACCTGCACCACATAAATGATCGATAAAAAGTAGTTGAAGGTAGCAAGAATATTCCCTCAAAAACCCAAATCCATCACAGCAAAACAGGGCACATAATTGTATAACGCACACATATATGAGTATTTCTGTTGTGTGTACAACTCTGACCATAGTGTTGAGGCAAGAAGGGACCAGCTGATTATTTAACATAATCCATCTCATATTCTTAACAGTCAAGATCAACATATAGGCTATTCAATTACAGACAGGATGATTCTTTTTTTTTTTGCATTACTTAGAACTTTAGAAGCATCATTGTGAGGAAAGAAATTCATGGAGCCAAAGAAATTCCAGTCCCAGATGCAATTCAAAATTGTAAAGATTTCCATGTATATCACTCAATAAATGAGTTTAGAACTTACTGCCAAGGTGGATCAAAGAACTTTAGATATTGACAATGGTTGCAACTAATTCAGTTTTTCCCCAAAAATGGTGTCAACTGAACACAAGTACATAGGCCAAAAAAAATTGAAGCTTCAGCTACAAACATTCAGCATAGAAACCATGCTTTTAACAAAGATCAATCACCATCTTGCGCCTTGCATTCACAATCTTACAACAAACAAAAAAATTGTGAACGAATCAACGTCTTGCAACTGTTATCATCACCTAGTAACTAGGAGTACACCTATTTACAGATTTTTATTTTTAACTGGAGATGACAGGAGTATTTCCCTTGTGCAGTTATTTGTTGTAAGTCATGAACAATATAGATAGGGGTTTGATTAGAGTTTTTTCCAAAAAAAAAAAAATGAAGCAACCCTTACACCAGGCCCGGCTATGGGGTGATACATTTGAACCTATAGAATGGGGCCCCAAAATTTTATTAAAAAAAATCCGCTTTTCTTCCCCAAAATCCCCAATTCCCCAAGAAAGTAATCAATATCTTTCCTCGTCAAAACATAATAACCTCTGTACATTACCACTCTCCTAATATATCTTGTTGTCTCACTCTCCTAATATATCTTTAATTACTAAAATTTTGTCTATTTTTTCAGCAATAGTGATGTTAAGGCTTGCAACGGCGAAATATATTAGCATAAAGATTTGTTACCCGCAATATTCCACAATCTATGATTTCTTTTTAATTCATTGCAAAAGTGGAAAAAATCTTTACTAAAAGCACTCATGTTTATTCCATTTTGTTGTTCGATTGTTCAATTATAATCCAGGTAATGTCTACCTAACAAAATGATACAATAACAATACTATAATTGCCCGTAAAAAATTTATAGGGCCCAATTTTGCATTTAACACATGGCCTCCAAATAGGCGGAGCAACCCTGCTTAGACAACCTTTGATAAGTTCTTTTACAATTTGCAAACACCATCTAAATTATTAAAACAAAGTGGGGGTTAATGAGAGGAGATTAAACCCTAAATGCTCTTCTCTCGACATGTCACATCAGCAATCACGTCATACCACATTAAAGACAACCAAGTTCATTACACTTTTGGTAACATACTAATCAAGCAACAAAAAAGGGGATTTATCTTCAATCAATGTCTATCAAACAACTAGACATTTTGAGAAGATTCAATAGAAAAGATAAAGAAAATCTGATTATTTTTTTCCTTCGCAGATTGATATGTTCCGTGCATTTGGGTGCATTCTAGTAACAATTTAAAGTTAAATTTCCACTCCAAAATACAATGTGGATCATGCTAATGCATCATTACCTTGCTTAGGTGGGTTTGACTCGTTTGAGGATTCTGTCTCCATAACCGCAGGTGGAGTGCTAGCTGACTCCTCACCTGTAACAATTCCATTAGCTTCACAAACAGCGATGTCAATGACATTTGGGCTGTCATTCGCAGAAGCATCCAATGACACAGGAGGCTCCAATGACACAGGAGGCTGGGAAGAATTAGCAGGGGCATGTGATGCCTTCCGGTTCCTTGCTTTATTCGACTTGCCAGCCATAAGTTACCAGTTCACTGGGCAGTGTTTCTGATAAGCAAACACGATCAAAGCATCAATATCACAAGAATTAAAAGCGTTATGTAAACAAAAAGCCTGCAACACCATTAACAACTTAATTTGACTCAATTATCAAATTAAATTCTTCTCGCTTATAAAAATGAATTGCAAAATTCTATCATCATTTTAATCATTCAGTAATCAAATTGAATTGAATCGAATCAAATTGAATCAACGATAAATACTAGATAGTGAAATTGATATTCGATGATTAAAAAAAAAACATCTTACCTCAGAAGCCGCTTCAATGGAGAATTCAGACAATACGATTAAAGAACAAAATGTAGACGCTGCAAAATGTATACATAAAAGATTAAATTTTTCAATTTGAATTCGAGAGAGTTAAACCATGAAAGACAAGACAACGATTATATATACCTAATAAAAATGATTTGGGTATAATTCTGGAATACGCTCAAACCTTTTCCTTTAATTTGATCCTCAATTCCACAATTTCAGGTGCAGAAATGAGGATGGAAGAAGACGGCTTGTGTACTCAGAGAGTCAGAATACCTAGGGGTAAGGCTTCCAAATCAACATATAGGGTTTAGGGTTTTGGTAAAACTACGGTTTTTTTTTTTAAGATTAAGATTGGATTTTGTTTTTTTAAATATGGAGTGCGGAATATTTCTTTCATTATTCATTAATAGCTGAAACAGCCAAATTTGACATTTTTTTTTTTTTGTTTTTTTTTTTTTAATTTTATTTAATTATATTCTTAAGGGAAAACACTTTGTAGTTAGTGGGGCTCGAAAGGTGAGTTCCCCACCAACTCCACCAAGCTTTACTTGGTTGTCAAAACACATACGTATAGCAAAAAATTCAACGTATGTCAAGCATTCTAGAATAGAGGGAGTATACGAGTATTCCATGGAATTTTTTAACAACTATTAAGGGATTTGTTAAAGCATCCACATTCATTAGATGGGAAGCTACCATTTGACAAAATATGCAAATGGAGACCTCCCCACCAATGCTGCTCCTTTCCCATCCCACAATTATATTTGGTGAGGTTAATTAGATGGGAAGCTCCTAATTCTAATTTGTGGGCCACCTTTGGTACTTCCCTTCCACCAATACATATGCATGCACCTTTTTTTGTTTTATTTTTAAATAATACAAAAATAGGAGAGAGAAAGTAAATAGGAAAGTTAATGAATGTAGGTATGGAAATATAAAATGGGATGGGTATGTGATAAATTTAGTGGGAAGTGAGGTGGGGAGAGAAAAATTATGGGGAGCCTAATGGATGTGGATGCTCTTAGTAGCACATGTGTACGAGGGTTGGCTAACTTGTGAAAGATGTTGGTTCAATAAATAAGAAATCCTAAATTTCTATAAGAGTCAAAGTTCAAAACTTTGGAATTATTATTGTTATTTTTTCTATAGTTTTCCTTATAAATTTAGAATAATATAAACACACCATCCTCTCAATGCCTTGCGCATAGAAAAATAAGGAATACCTCAACACCCCCAATCCCCAACTACAAATCGATCCAAAAAGTGAGCTTTACTTTTGCGCTGCTTGAATAACAAGGACGACTAGATGCCTCGGTGGTGAAAGAGGAACAAGATGAGCATCAGTGACAACTCCCATTATTAATAAAATTAAAAAAAAAAAAAAAAAAATGCTTAATTTTTTTTTAATAAATAAAAAAAAAAAAGGTTCTAAAATAATAGTGAGTAATCATGCCTCGACCTAATAGGGAGAAAACCAAGAAAAAGGAAATTTTTATCAAGATCACCATGATTTTAAACTACAATAAAATAAAAACAAAAGTAAGAATAACAATTAGGAAACACAATCGAAAATTGAAAATAAATAGTACTCCTAAGAGATTTCTATCTATAAGTGCATTAGTTGTATGACAAATGTTAAGGATGATTAGAATCAATAACATTAACTAAGGTATTGCTCGAGGCGACACTGCTATGGGTTTTACCATTTTTATTTTACATTTTAATTTTGGAAGCAAACCAGTCATGCAAATTCGTTGAAACAAACAAAACGGTTTTACTAATTTGAAAATGGAAACATTGAAACCACTTTAATTGGTTCTATTCTCTTTGTTTCAGCTTTCGAAGAATACATCCATGTTGGCGAGCTCTTCTTGCAAACCGACTAACCATTCTTGTGTATTTCTGTCATCTATCTCTTGTCTATAGTTTCCACACCATTATAATGGAGATACAGATCTAAGCACCATACTTTATAATAGACTTTGACCTTTTCCTTTTGTTTTCACTTTATTTTTTATTTTTTTTAATATGATCACTCTTTCTTATGCAATGAAAAATCTTTTATTTCCTAATAGTTCTCTTTATCTTTTGAAATGATGTTTATTTGGATTTTAATCACTCCATTTTTTTCACGAATCTACCTCTTAGAGGGAAGGTGCCAATTGGGTACAATTACACGATCGCAGGGTGATCTTGATATTGATGCATCATATGTAATGTGGCAGAAGATGAATTTTCCACTAGTGCTGTATAGAATTTTGTGTGGGATGGTGTGATGCTGTAGTGGCTCCACACTGCAATGGAATATGTATTTCCTTGTTTTCATGTTGGGACCTTAACTGGATCCTTATTAGTTGATGCCATTAATGGTGAAGTTCATTAATGTTTGGGTACCATATTGCAACTATAGGTTTTTCCCTAATTAGCTTGATCCCATTTTCTTGAGAAATCTTAGCTAAGTGATGCGGGAGCAATAGTCCAATAAGGGTTTTCTTGAAAATTCATGGAGTTTTTAGAACGCCTACACTATCTTTTAGTTATTATTAATTATTAGGATTTTTGCCTGTGGGTTTTTACCTTTCACTCGAAAGGATTTTTCCTATTTTTAAGCTTTAAGAGTTTTAGTTATTAGGATATTTATTTGTTTATTTTATTTATGTTAAGATAGATTTAGTGGTTGGTTACAAATATGATAAGGAGATATTATTAGGATTAGGATTCTTAAATTCTATCTTATTAGGACATGTTTATTAGTTTCCTATCTTATCTTTGTACGATTTTTCACCCTATAAATATGGGTGCATATCAATAATGATTTAATGAATGAATGATGAAAGATTTGTTTTGGGAATTAACCCTTTTAGCGTTGCTCGTTTGATTGTTAATAAAAAAATCACTTGTTGCGACTTTTGATCATTTTCTAGTTGCGACTAGGAAGAGACCCTCTATTCTTGCGAGAATTAGAGTAATATCCTTTTAATTTTCGTGTAATTCTTTAGTTCTTGTTAAAATCCGAAGATCTAATATTATTATAGCTTGCGAGCCTTGTGAGAGTCGTGAGAGATCCACATTATAATATGATGCGGGAGAAATAGTCCAATGTGGGTTTTCTTGAAATTTCATGGAGTTTCTAGGAATCTACACTATCTTTTAGTTATTATTAATTATTAAGATTTTTGCCTATGGGTTTTTACCTTTCACTTGAAAGGATTTTTCCTAATTTTAGGCCTTAAGAGTTTTAGTTGAAAGGATTTTTCCTATATTTAGGCTTTAAGAGTTTTAGTTATTAGGATATTTATATGTTTGATTTATTTATGTTAGGATAGATTTAGTAGTTGGTTACAAATATGATTAGGAGATTTATTAGGATTAGGATTCTTAATATTATATCTTATTTTAGGATATGATTATTAGTTTCCTATCTTATCTTTGTACAATTTTTCACCCTATAAATATGAGTGCATATCTGATTTTTAATAAATAATGATGAGAGATTTGTTTTGGGAATTAACCCTTTGAGCATTGCTCGTTTGATTATTAATAAAAAAACATCACTTATTGTGACTCGTGATCATCTTCTACTTGTGACTCGGAAGAGATCCTTTATTCTTGCGAGAATTAGAGTACTATCCTATTAATTTTCATGTAATTCTTTAGTTTTTGGTAAAATTCAAAGACCCAATATTATTATAGCTTGCGAGCCTTGTGAGGTCTTGAGAGATCCACATCATAATGGTATAGAGCCAGGTTTTGTGAGTCCTTTTGGCATTTACACGATCTTGGCGTATTGGGTTCGTTGTCATGTTTCAAGATTTGGCAAAATTCGAGGCGAATTTTTTTGAAGAAGGGGAGTATGATGCAAGAGCAATAGTCCAATATGGGTTTTCTTGAAATTTCATGGAGTTTCTAGGAATCTACATTATGATGTGAATCTCTCAAAACTCTAGCAAGGCTCGCAAGCTATAATAACATTGGATCTTCGGATTTTAACTAGAACTCAAGAAACTACACAAAAATTAAAAGGACATTACTCTAATTCTCGCGAGAATAGTGGGTCTCTTCCTAGTGGTAACTAGAAGATGATCACGAGTCGCAACAAGTGATGTTTTTTATTAACAATTAAACGAGCAACGCTCAAAGGGTTAATTCCCATAACAAATCTTTCATCATTCATTCATTAAATCATTATTGATATGCACCCATATTTATAGGGTGAAAAATCGTACAAAGATAAGATAGAAAATTAATAAACATGTCCTAATAAGATAGAATTTAAGAATCCTAATCCTAATATATCTCCTAATCATATTTGTAACCAACCACTAAATCTATCCTAACATAAATAAATTAAACAAATAAATAACCTAATAACTAAAACTCTTAAAGCCTAAAAATAGGAAAAATCTTTTCAAGTAAAAGGTAAAAACCCATAGGCAAAAATTCTAATAATTAATAATAACTAAAAGTGTAGGCTATCTAAAAACTCCATGAATTTTCAAGAAAAGATTTATTGGACTATTGCTCCCGCATCACTAAGTCTCGAGTTGAGTCTTGAAAAAAAAAATTAGTCCCCTTTACCCCTACCAAAAAAAAAAAAAATCTCCCAAACCTCAATATAATTTTTTTTTTTGACAACAGCAGAATGCATTTAATTAAACCCCAGTTATACAGAAAGAAAAAATCAACATTCAAACTCAAGTACTTCTTTCTCTCATCGAAGAGACATATCAACGGTGGTCGTGACTACTCTATCTTGAGTCCTTGTCATTTCGTCTTATACTCTTGGGCGTTTAATCCGTTCTTCGATTCAGGTTTAGTTTTTTTAAAAAAAGCCCCCTTCTCTCGCATATTTCCAGTCCCCAGTCTCAAGTTTCGGTGTCGGCAAATTACTGAGTTCAGGTAATTCAATTTTTTCATATTCAATTTTAAAGTTTCAATTTTTTATTCTTTATGTGTTGCTGGGTTGATTTTGTGCTTATATTAGTTTTGTTATTTAATTTATCAAATTAATGTAGGTGTTGTTTCAAATCGATAATTTGTTATATATATATATATATATGCTACACAAATAAGGTTTGAAATTCATGGGAAGTTGTATAATGTATAATAGGGCATTTCTGATTTTTTTTTTATATTATTGTTATCAATTCACGTGACCAAGCAAAAAAAAAAATGAAGTTTGTTATTAAAAAAAAAATCTAACTTTTTTCCTCAGTTTTTAGTGTTTTCACGTGAGATGAGAGAACCCAACAAGCTCACTCAGTAACTCTCTTTATCTCTCTTGGAAAAGTACGTAATCGGCCGCTACGCTCCCTCTAATATTCTGCAGTTTCTAGCACCATCCACCTTCTCCCGTGTGTCTGTGACGTCTGTTTGGTTTGTAAGTGCCGTTTGACAATATTTTATTAATGAAATCCTTTTTCTTCCCGTTAAAAAAAATATAAAAATTGAACAGTTATGGTCAAAAGTCAGGGAAAAAACACTACATTTATAATATGGATGACTGACGATGGTCTTAGGGGTTTACAAAGACAAAACAATTATTTTTACGAGAACTCGTTTCCCAAAAAGAAAAGTCCTTGAACTGGTGATGTGGGCAGTAGCCAGTAGATTAAGAGTTTACTTCCTCCGTTTTTTTATTTTATTTTACCTCTAACCATCAATAACTTTAATTCCATAACTAAAAATTATAAAAGTAAAAGTTATACGTAGTATTATGATAGTATTTACGGAGATGATTCTATGAAGGTTCCTCGTGAATATGTTTTTCGTTAAATATAATAATTTACAAAAGACATTAAAGGGGTTAAATGAGGGTATAAAATAATACTCATAGGGGGTGTTTGGTACATGGGAATTGAGGGTGGGATTGGGAATTTTAATCCCAACTCAAAAAAATTTCCTTTGTTAGATGGGATTGGTAATAAATAAGGGAATGAGATTGAGTATAAATGGGGGTGAATTCTCACCATTTTATTACCAAGGGATGGTAGGTAATAACGGGGCGTTTGGTTGGAGGAATAAAGATAAGAGGTATAAGAAGGGAGGATAAAGATGGGGAATTGATAGGTGGGACAAGGATAAATACTTCTTATCCCATGTTTGGTAAGTATGAGAAATAAATTAGAGATAAGTAATAAAATTATAAAAATACCCTTACTAACTTCTACCCTTTCTCTTTACCCTTTCGATTTTATTAAAGGTAATTTGGTACTTTTCAACCTATTTCTTATAGAAATGGAAGGATAAGTGGTGTTTTTATCCCTATTCTTTACCCTCTTCTAATCCCTATCCCTTCAAACAAACACTACATTTCTTCTATCTCATCCTTTATCATTATCCCACCATTTTTATCTCCCTAAACAAACACCCTCTAAATGGAGGGGAATGAGAATTGGTATAAAATGACATTTTTGCCATTAATGAAAAGATTGGAAGAAAAAAATTAGTAAGGATAATTTTATAATTTTTGTTATTTATTCCCTACCTATTCGGCTATTTCCATTCACTACCCAAACAAATTATTATCATATTTTTACATAACCATCAATTGCTAATCCCATCCTTATATTTTATTCTCCAAACTCCCATTGTCACATTCTAAACGCCTCAGCTGTAAAGGACGGAATTGCAACTTTGTCATTAATCTTCCTCTAATCCTCCCTTTGCTTTCATTTTCTTTTCAAGCCTTCAACTTTTATTATAGTTGAGTGTAGTAGTGGTTCAACTGAGATTGAGAGGGAAATGGAGAAATTCCCAGTTATAGATCTGAACCCATACTTGGAGTGGGAACAAAGCGGGAATGGCAACGAGGCAGAAATGAAAAAGCTGTGTTTGGAGGTTAGCCGGACTCTGCAGGAGACAGGAGCTTTACTGGTAAAAGATCCCAGATGTTCTGCTCAAGACAATGATCGTTTTCTTGACATGATGGAGAAGTATTTCGAGCAAACCCCGGAATTCAAGCGCCTTCAAGAACGCCCTCTTTTGCATTACCAGGTTCATTCATTGATTCCATTATTGTCCCGTCTTTCATTCAATTGATCTTTTAGTTGTCTTTCATTGGATTGATTTGTTTGTTTGATTGATTGATTGATCATCTTTCATCTTTCTAGGTTGGAGTTACGCCGGAAGGAGTTGAAGTCCCCCGAAGTTTGGTGGATGCAGAAATGCAACAGAATCTTAAAGCTATGTCGCCCCAAAATCAGCCATCCACCCCAACTGGGCCTGATCCTAAGTGGAGATATATGTGGAGGATTGGTCCTCGTCCGTCGAATACTCGCTTCAAGGTCTGCCTCTGCCTCTTTCTCTTGATTTTATTTCACCCATTTCAATTTCAATTTCGGTTTCGATTTTAATTCTGCTTGTATGATATTACAGGAATTAAATGCTGAGCCCGTAATTCCTGAAGGATTCCCAGAATGGAAAGAGACCATGGATTCTTGGGGTCTTAAAATGATATCAGCTATAGAGGTTGTCACTCTTGTCTCTTGGTAATCATGTTTCTATCATTCTGTGGTGCTTACCTTTTTCCTTACTCTTTCACCTTATTCACTTGCCATTGTACCTAGGTTGTTGCAGAAATGGCCGCTATCGGATTTGGCTTGCCTAAGGATGCTTTCACTTCTTTGATGAAGCAGGTATACCTATTTTTTACACTTTGTAAACTAACTGATGTTTTTTATGGGAGGTGAGGATTTTGCTCGTGTTTTCCTTCCAATGAGGAGAAGGTTAATGTCTTAATGGGTTCACCTTACTCTTCCACTTCTTTTTCCCCAATTTCATATTCAAACAAGGGTAATGAATTCATCACTTGCTCTTCTCTACCTTTCCTTCCAATGTTCGTTATCCAAACAAATTGTTAATTGATTTTTAACAGAAATTATCTTTCAGGTTGGTAGTATGATATTCCTTGTTCACATTACTGTCGAACAATCATTTTGTACACCTCTGTTTAGTACTCCGTAGTATCTACAATAGTGCATTCATAATGTATGATTTTCTTATTGGACTGTTTACTGATTCCTGCCTTCCTGGTACATAGGGGCCTCACCTTCTTGCTCCAACGGGTAGTGACCTTCATCATCATGGACAGGAGGGGACTGTATTTGCAGGATATCACTACGACCTTAACTTCTTAACTATCCATGGGAGGAGTAGGTTTCCAGGTCTGAACATTTGGCTTAGAAATGGAGAAAAGGTGGAAGTCAAAGTTCCTGTTGGATGCCTTCTTATTCAGACTGGAAAACAGGTAAGGCAGATACAACATACACATTGACAATATTCTATTTTGTAGAGTGCATAGTTTTGGCTTAACAGAAATTACCAAGATAAGAAAATTGTAACCTATCCCAATCTTCTAAGGCTCTAACTTTGGATAGATATGAAAACTTCTAGGCTTCACTGGCAAGCTACCTATCATTTTCTGTCAGGGCTGACAACTGCTCTATCTAGGATTTGCAGTGTGTCCAGCAGTAACCGATCACTAATTCTCCTTTCGCCTGGAAAATTTTCACTTTGCAATTTAACAGCAAGGCCATACTTTGTATTAATCGGAGTTTTAATTGATTTGAATTGCTATATGATTAATTAAAAGTCTGTTCAAAGGATATCCTACTGCTTTACGCCTTTACCAACATGGCGAATCTAAATGTTTTCTGGTTTTCTGAGCCAAGGTGCAAGGGTTTCATGGTTTCTTTTCCATTAATCTGTTAGACATTTAAATTAGTTTAGTTTGGCTGTTGCTCTTTCATTTACTATGTATCTTATATTCCACATGCAACTAATTGATCAAATGTACAAGTTAGATTATCTTTTACTGGTAAAGTGAGAGTGGGTAATTGGGTATATTTACTTGACGACAAGTGAATTGTAACTACTAACAAATCAGTGTCTTTATACAAAAAATAAACGAAGTGTAAGCATTCCATTCATGTAAAAATAAAGAATTCCCTTCATGTTACTACCGTTTCTACAGAAACAATATAAACTTCATTAACGCTTTGGTAATCTAACAGCAATGCAATTTGGATTTATATTATTAGCCAGTTTTCTGAGTAAACTTCTATTTTGCTATGGGTCAATTTTGTCTTTTTTGATGTATTTTGTTCAGATGTTGTGAATCTTGTTACTCATTTGCACCACTTAGCTGTACCAATTTTTTTGATGCTTGCAGTTTCATATCACATGAATGTATTTGCAGATTGAATGGCTGACTGGCGGCGAATGCATTGCCGGAATGCATGAGGTTGTTGTGACCAAAAGGACTCTTGAAGCAATTAGATTAGCATCTGAACAAAGGTGCAGTCTGTGGAGGGTATCTTCAACTGTGAGTAGACAGCCTTATTATTCATACAATAGTATAATGTAAACTTTCTGTAGTGAAGAGGTTAACATTTTTCTAATTAGAAATTTCTTGTGCTCATGTGTCTCAGTTGTTTGCACATGTTGCATCAGATGCTGTTCTAAAGCCACTAGGCCATTTTGCTAACTCTGCACTTGCAAGTATGTATCCTCCCATGTGTGCTGGGGAATTTGTTGAAAAGGAGCTTGCTGTGATTAATCTAAAAGGAAACAAAAGAGATTCTTCAACGTAGTCAGAGCATAACATGATACTATCCAGCTTACAAACATGAAACATTATCTGAAGATTTTTTAGCAGATGTCCAGGTGAGGGGTTAATTTTATTTGAGGGCATCTTGCATGGACGAGGTGTTTTTAAGTGGTTATCTTACTATTTAGTTGTTCCTTGAGGCTTGTATCACTAAGAACCATGAATTTACCAAAATTGTTAAATATTTGATCATCAGTGGATGAAATTTGTTCAAAAGCTGACTTCAGAATGCAGTGACATCACTGACATCCATTTAATTTCTGCGGACTTATGTTTTTCTGTCTTAGTTTCTTTTTACTATGGTTTTCAGTTATAACTTGTTGTATGAAAATTAATGGATGGCTCTTCCCCAAATTTTCTCCTGTCTAACTTTATGAGGTGGGTGGTGGGTTGATCCCCTAGATGTGTGAGTGCATTGCTTATGAAGTACGCAGTCACATAATTTGGGTTTTCAAACTGTTCTAGGATAGGCATGATTTATGTGATAACTTAGGAGTACAGTTGGCAGAACTCAGCATCAAAATGCTGATGTGTGGTAGGATGAAGATGCACATTGGCATGAGTGAATGTCAACTCTCCTTTATATATAATTTGATTTCCATTGATTCAAACCCTCATATGCATCCTACTGCTGAAGGGAATTTTCACTCTAGTTGAATCATGAAGCTACCCCATTGCCATGACAAGGCTTTTGTTTCTTTTGTGGTCATGATGTTAATCATGTCAGTGATGGTAAGGCAGGGCCAAGGGCTCACCTGTGGCAATACGTTCTTCTCAGCACTGGTGCAGCTAATACCATGCAGGACTGCCGTTTCCCCATTCAGCCCTATCCCACCAAGCGAGACATGCTGCAATGCCATCAAAACTTTGGGACAGCCTTGTTTATGTGTGCTTGTCAATGGCCCCCCTATATCTGGTGTTGATCGAAGCATGGCCTTGCAGCTCCCTGACAAGTGTGCCACCAATTTTGATCCATGTAACAGTCTCCTACCTCGCTTGGTCTTGTGTTGTCTTCACCTATCTTTGTTTCTCGTGTTTTGAATGTTTCAACTGATCAAACAAATTCAATGATGTTGCATATGTACTTGCTCTAAGTTAATTGTGTTAATTATTGAAAAAGCAGTCTTTATGTGTAGGAAATTCAATGATACTGCTGCATATATACTTGTTCTAAGTTATTTGTGCTCTACATGGAAAATGTGGTCTTTATGCGTGTCTGGGGTTTAATCTGTGCTATACATTCTCTGGTGCAGGTGAGTTAGCAAGGAGGTAATATTGGGCAGGGAGAGCTCTGAAGATAATGTAATAAATAATAGAATTCTTAGAAATGCCACTGATAATATTTCCATATAATGCATGAATGCATGATGTAATAAGGGGGAGAATACATATTAGCTTGTTTTAAAATTTCATCCCCTTTGCATGTCTACTTTTTCAGGCAGGTTCTCATATTTTAGCTTGTGTTTGAGATCCTGGAAAATATTAGGGTGTTGCAACTGAGTACTGAGTACACAATATTTATGCTCAAATATATCAACAGATATATGGCTATTTGGCCAACTATTAGCTACTTCGTATGTGATACAGATCTTCTTGACAACTTTCATCTGTCTTTCTCATGCAAAGCGCTAACCTGTTTTTATGAGGCACCTTGGTGGGGGGCTGTCTTTTGGGATACATGGCATGGCAGAAGGGCAGCCTGCTGGTCGAGTGGCCAGCACTGTATCCAAAAAATTATACAAAGTAAAAAATAGTGGTCCTGACATGCTTGGCCTGTGGCTGTGCTGTGTTGTGGGCAGAGCTTATGGGATGGACGGCAGGGTACAGCCACGGTGGACTGGCCTGCTCAAAAGCCACCGCACTCTGTTCCAGCCACACTATCATAATCTAGGTGAACTTGCATTATCATAATTATCTTTTTCGCATCAAAGACCTATACATTTAATTTTGGATGTAATAAATCTCGTCTGAAGGTTTAATTCAATTAATTTTGGAGTTGGCTTGCACAAAATGTACATTACACCAACAATCAGTTAATTTTGGAGTTGGTTTGCACAAAATGTACATTTATGACAGGAACACTTGCAAGAGTCGTACCATTAAAACAGAATAAAACCAATTTTTCTGGTTTGACAAGATTCACCATGAGCACGCGGCAGAGCCAATTTCAGCCATGTCACACTGTTAATTCTATACCCTTGGCTCCTTCTTACTCTGGAGGTAGCAATGCATCAAGATTTAAGCTTCAAAACAATTGCAACAGGCCCCATCACCGCGTTTTCCAGGTTTTTAAGTGTATATCCTCATGCATATTGTCCTCATACATATAGCTACGCCTTTGATGATGCCACTAGTACTTTTACTTGTAAGGTGCCGACTGTTTGAATAGATTTTGTTAGTTTTCCATGTGATTAACGAGAATTATCTTGCTTAATTCTGTTTCCCTCCCCAAAACACTTAACAAGTAGGCACTGATAGCTAAAATAATTATGATATAGGATAAATTTTTCATAGAACTTTGGAATTTGGCTTATATTGCATGATAAAGCTAATGGCTCAACAAGGTTCAAGTTCTCTTCTCATAGATAGAAATACACTAAACATATCACTTTCATAATTCTAAACAAAACAAGTTCATATTGATTTTAATTAAAAATAAGAAGATTGCTGGTTCTTAGTCATAGACTCATCATGCGACCCAATTAGTTTTTTTTTACTACAATTATCATAACCTATTTGTAGTATATAGACACAAAAAGAATGTGTATATTTTAAAAGGAAAGGTACCCAACAGTTAGAATAACAAAAAGATTGTGAATGCTCCTTTCGCATTTTTTAAGTGTCTCGTTTTGACTTTTGTACTATTCACGTATATCACTTTAATTAATGATTATGCATATACATAAGATCAAACAGTCATATAGGTACTTATTAGAATCGTCTCAATATATAGTTTTTGATCATTAATTTTTTGTAATTTATATTATTAATTGCTAATTAAAATCAATTATTAGTCAAATTCCCCAGTTAGCAAATGTGACAATCAAATTGGGGCACTTAAGAAGACTCAAAGGGAGTATATGAGTAAAAGTAGAACCATTAACTAATGACGTGTTCTCTTCACCTTATATAGTCTTTCTATTGCACCTTATAGTCTTTCTACTGAACTGAAATTAAATTATTAAATTGAAATTATCTTTATCAAACTTAAATTATTTTTACTAAAACTTTATTAAATTTGTCTTTAAAGTTATTGAATTTTGTTAATTAAAAGTATAAAAACTTATTTTTTACTAAACTAAACTTATTTTTACTAAACTGAACTTATTTTCATTGAACTTAAATTATTTTACTAAATATTATTTGAACAATGGGAAGAAAATAGAATTAACACTTAGGCCTCGTTTGGTTGTAAATGGGAATTAAATGCCAATAGGAAGTTACAATACATGAGAAATTTTATTGCCTAGGAAATACTAAAATTGTGTTTGGTTGACATATAGGAAATCGTATTTCCCATAAATTAGTTTCCTATGTTTTGTTTGGTTAACTTATGTAATACCCAATTACCCATGTATAATTATAACAATATAACTTGAACTACTTTCCTAAAATTTTGAAGACAATAATGTAATTTCACCCAAAATACACGTGGGAAGTTTGAGTGACCAAGGTAGGGTGTGGGAAATTGATTCCCATGTTTTGTAGGAATTCCAAATTCCTTAGAAATTTCAACTTCCTACATTTCTGCTAACCAAACAACTACTTTTAAACACATTTTCCATGAATTTGTATTTCCCCCATTATTGAAGTGCAACCAAACAAGGCCTTAAACTCTTCAATCAAGGAAAAAAAAGACATGACCGTCAAGTTTAATTAAAGTTGGCTTTTACTCAACTAATAGGCTGTTAGTAACCAACTAAACAAGTTTCACTTTGATATTTTTAAGGACAAGATTAGGGCCTACAAAGGAGTGACACAAGAAGCAAGCCAAAAAAGATGCCCATTAAAAGTTGATAACATTCTCAAAGTCATCTAAAACTAAAAGACAATAGTCAATAAACAATCCTGGGAAGCTTTAAATCTAGGGACTTGTTATTCATCGCCCGCAAATCTCTACATAAAGCCCACATTTTATAATTTTTTGACAAATTTGCCCTTTTTATAATTTTAACGGAAGATAAATTTTTCGCACTAAAAAAATGTGGAGCAGCACCGGATCGCCGAGGATCACCGGAGAATCGCCGTCGTCATCGGAAAACGAGGTTCGTAACGCATCGTAAGGACGAAATGGTGGCTGGCGCCTAGCCAAAAGGCCATGCCGTGGTTGTGGCGCCTAGCCAGGACGCCGCCACCGTGGTCACGGCGCCTGGTGGAGAAGCCTCGACCATAGTAGTGGCGCGTGGCCAGGACGCCGCAGCCACGGCCAAGGCGCCTGGCCACCACGCCGCCACCATGGCGGCGGCGTCCTGACCAGGCGCCCCGGCCGTGGCTCCGGCGTCCTGGCCAGGCGCCAGTAGGGATTTTTTTTTTTTTTTTTTTTTTTTTTTTTTTTTTTTTATTTTTTAATTTAATCCCCTTTTTTTTTTTTTGTTTGTTTTTGTTAATTTAATCTTAATGTAATTATATTTATACGTTATATGTTATTGTTACAGGATTATGGTGGAGACGGAAATGATTACAGTGGGATTTTTGTACATGATGGCCTGTTCGAAGATGCTCAACAAGCGATTGATTGGGCAAAACAGGCTGCAATTAGATCAGGCTTTTGTTTAGTAGTAGCAACTCATAAATCTCAACGGGATGGTAGAATGGATCGCATTTTGAGATGCGACCGTTATCGCAAAAGAGAAGAACGAGATTTCAGTAAAGCGATTCGGTTTGACTCAAAGCGGAAAGGTTGTGGGTGTCAGTTCCGAGTTAAGGTTCGACAACATCAAAGGCGTGACGGTTGGGAAGTGAAGGGTTACGACAAATGGGGATATCACAACCATGAGCTGATAGCATACAAAGTGGGGCATCGGCAGTTAAGCGGCCTAAGTCCAGCTGCGAAACTAGTTGTAAAAGAAATGAGTGATGCTCAAGTGAAGCCCGCTAAAATATTAGCGTCTGTGTTAGAGAAATTCCCCGAAGACCAGCCAAACCGAAGACACATCTACAACGTCAGACAGAAATTGAGGTTTGAACGGTCAGAGGGAAGGAACCCTATACAGCAGCTTCTGCACCAGGCACAAGCACGTGGTTACCTTTACTGGTTTGAATCTGACGAAGACACATCGGAGGTAACTCATTTGTTCCTTGTCCATCCTGATTGTGCTGATATGATTTCGTCTTGGCCATCTGTGATTTTGATCGATTCAACGTACAAGACAAACAAGTACAAGTTCCCACTGGTTGAGATGGTTGGGATGGCTCCAACGAACCAGAACTTTCTGATTGGTTATGCAGTCATGAAGGATGAGACGGCTGCGAGTTACCGTTGGGTGTTGGAAAAGTTGAGAAACTACATCGGCCCAAATGTACAGCCATCGGCCATCGTAAGTGATTGTGAGGGAGGTCTTTTTGCCCCTATAGCGGAGCTGTTTCCGGAGTCGAGCCATTTACTGTGCACATGGCACATCAACAACTGCGTGAAAGTCAAAGCCTACAACCTTTTCAACAAGAACTTAGATTCAGCAGAGAGATTGGTAAATGGTAAGTGGCGGAAGATCCTGCAAGCTACCACGGAGGCAGAGTACGATCGAGCCTTGGAAAACTTAAAGGATGCGTACAAGTGGTGCCCGCCAATCGTAGACTATGTGATGCATCAGTGGGTACCTCAGAGGGAAAAGTTTGTCAAATATTGGACGAACCAAGTTCTTCATTTTGGGAACACTACGACATGCAGAGTCGAGAGCGCTCATAGAGCTTTGAAGGACTGGATTGATTCTTCCACGGCTGCTCTGGATACACTGTTCGAGAGAATAAACAAGGCTATTGATACTCAGAGGAACGGCATCAAGAACTATCTCGAGGACTCCAGACGACGACATGGCATGTTGTATGGCCATTTCATATTTAAGATTCTCCACGGTCGTGTGTCACACCACTGTTTGGGGTTGATTCTGAGCGAGTATACCAGGATGAGGGAGTTGGGCGATGAAGTGGCTATTCGGTGCGGATGTGCTATATCAATGACTCATGGATTACCTTGTGCATGCACCATTCACCGCGTAATTACGCAAGACAGGGCGTCGTTACATGTCGATCAGGTTCATCCATTCTGGCGGACGCTCGTTATCGGAGAGCATGCTGTTCCGCATACGGTTCACCGTGAACAGGAGGAGTTGGAGCAGTTTCAGATGATGTTTGACCAAGTGTCCTCCAGTCACCCTTCGATCATTCGTAGTGCTACACACATACTTCATGACATGTTCAATACATCGTGTTTGGATACCGAGGAACCGGAAGGGGTCGAGCGACCTAGGGGTCGACAACCACGGCGGAACAAGAGTGCGTTTGAGTACATTCGCGGTCGTGGCCGTGGCCGTGGCCGTGGTCGTACATCCTCATCAAGTGGCAGCCAATCAT